TGTGGGTGGCAACCAGTCCATGTCTCTCTCACACCTATGTTTCTCTCTCTGTCTTCCTCCCTCTCTCCCGCTCTATCTGAAGATAAATGCAAAAATGTCCTCGGGTGAGGATAAAATAATAATAATAATAATAATAAAATAAATAAATACAAAAAATTTTTTAAAAAGAAAGAAAAGAATAATTTACAGGGGCTCAATAATAGAGTAGGTGAAGCCAAGAAGCAAACCATCGATTTGGAATAAAAGGAAGCAAAAAACACCTAATCAGAACAGCTAAAAGAAAAAAGAATCCAAAAAATGAGGATAGTGTAAGGAGCCTCTGGGACAACTTCATGCATGCCAGCATTCGCATCTTGGGGGTGCCAGGAGGAGAAGAGAGAGAACAAGAAATTGAAAACCTATTTGAAACAATAATGACAGAAAACTTTCCTAACTTGGTGAAGGAAACAGACATATAAGTCCAGGAAAAACAGAGTCCCAAACAAGATGAACCCAAAGAGGTCCACACAGAGACACATGATTATCAAAATGCAAAAGGTTAAAGACAAAGAAAGAATCTTAAAAGCAGCAAGAGAAGCCCTGGCCGGTTTGGCTTAGCGGTTGGAGCGTCGGCCTGCGGTCCAGAGAGACCCGGGTTTGGTTCCCGCTAAGGGCATGTACCTCGGTTGCAGTTTGTCCCCGGCCCTGGTTGGTCGTGCGGGTGGCAGCCACTCGATGTGTCCCTTCACATCGATGTTTCTCTCTCTCTCTCTTCCTCTCTCTCCCTCCCGCTCTATCTGAACAAAAAATGAAAAAATGTCCTCGGGTGAGGATAAAAAACAAAACAAAAATAAAAGCAGCAAGAGAAAACCAGTTAGTTACCTACAAGGGAGTTCCCATAAAACTGTCAGCCAGTTTCTCAAAAGAAACTTTGCAGGCCAGGAGGGAGTGGCAAGAAATATTTAAAGAAATGAAAAGCAAGGACCTACATCCAAGATTATTCTGTCCTGCAAAGCTATCATTTAGAATTGATGGACATATAAAGAGTTTCCCAGACAAGAAAAAGCTAAAGAAGTTCATCACTACCAAACCAGTATTATATGAAATATTGATGGGTCTTCTTGAAGAAGAAGATAAAAAAATATAAACAAGTCCTGGCCGTTTTTGCTCAGCGGTTAGAGTGTTGGTTCGCAGACTAGAGAGGCCCGGGTTTGGTTCCTGTTAAGGGCATGTACCTCGGTTGCATTTTGTCCCTGGCCCTGGTTGGGGTCGTGTGAGTGGCAACCAGTCGATGTGTTTCTCTCACACTGATGTTTCTCTCTCTCTCTCTCTTCCTCCCTCTCTCCCCCGCCACTCTATCTAAAGATAAACGCAAAAAAAAAAAAAAAAAGGTCCTCCAGCGAGGATTAAAAAAAAAAGAACAATAAAATGGCAATAAATACATATGTATCAACAATTGAAACTACAAACAAAATGAGCAAGCAGAACAGAAACAGACTCATAGATATAGAGAACTTTTTGTTGGTTGCTGGATGGGAGGAGGTTGGGGGGGGGGGGATAAGGAAAGTATTGAGAAGTACAAATTGACCCTGGCTGGTCTGGCTCAGCGGTTAGAGCATTAGCCTGCAGACCAGAGGGACCCGGGTTCGGTTCCCATTAAGGGCACGTACCTCTGTTGCAGTTTGTCTTCGGCTGTCCTGTGCATTGTGAAATGTTTAACAGCATCCATAGAGGACAAGAGTGCCCCTAGTTGTGACAACCAAAAAAAATCTCCAAACATTGCTAAATGTCTCTGGAGGGACTAAATGTTAAATCAGGTGAGATCTGGATTACAACAATCCCAGAGAATCAACCAACAGAATGCATAAATAAGTGGAACAACAAACCGGTGTTTCTCTCTCTCTCTCTTTCATCAATCAATCAATTTTCAAAAAACAGTCCTGGATCCAAATTGCATCTCTACCAGTTAAGATCTTGGGTAAATTAACCCAGAGACATGGAGGTGGGGTACAGGCTGACAAGCCTCAGAGGAGGGGTCGGGTTGTGGGGGAAGAGATAAACCACAGAACTTACATGCATGTATGCATGACCAATGAACATAGACAACAAAGCTGGGGATGGGGCAGAAGGGAAGGGGAGGAGGGTGTCAATGGGGGAAAAATGAGAAACATCTGTAACAAAAACAAATTAATAAATAAAAAATTAAAAAAATAAAAAGTTCTTGGGTAAATTACCTCATTTCAGTCTTACCCAGTTTCGTCATGTATAAACTAGGGATATAATACTTACCAAATAGGGTTTTGATAAAGATAAAAAGAAAGCATGCAAAGCACTTTGCAGAGTGCCTTATGTGGTAGCTATTAATATTGTTCCCATAGTTGAGACTATAGTATTACCTCATGTTCTTTATTTAGGAGATAGTTATTAACTGGTGTTTGTATGCCAGATCTTTTTAAACGAGCTCCACCTGAATTGTTCCTTCTCAAATCTTTACCTGGTAGGTAATATTATCATCTCTGTTTATTCTTGGTGAATAGCACTTTTAATGCCAGCATAATATTCCATCACGTCTGTTTTTACTCCTGGACCTAGTCTCCCACAGACCCACAGATCTACCTGGATATCTCCCTAGGAACGTTTAAGAGTCTCATGCTCTATGGACTGAGTTAGCCAGGCGCTCCTAGGAACGTTTAAATTCAGCATGTTTGGCCAATTAGTTCAGTGCCTAGCACCTAGTAAGCTTTCCATAAAAATGAGCTATTACTGGCCATCAATGTCATTTTTAGCTCCTGCTGTCTGATTCACCTCCACTTGCTACTCTTCAGTGGGTTTCCAGAGTCTCTTATTTTTTGTCAGCATTCTTGGCCCTGGGTTAAAATCCTGATTTGTTGTCCCTTTGGGGAGCCCATGGGAGAATCCAACCTAGTTCTCTGCAGGGAAGAAATGAAATAATGAAAATCAAGTTGCTCTACCCTGGCCAGTGTGGCTCAGTTGGTTGGGCCCTGTCCATGGCACCAAAGGGTTACCTGTTCAATTCCTGGTCAGGGCACATGGCCAGGTTGTGGGCTTGATTCCCGGGCGGGGGGGCGTAGAGGAAGCAGCTGATGATGTGTCTCTCTCATATAGATGTTCCTTTCTCTCTAAAAATCAATTTAAAAAATCTTAAAAGAAAGAAAATGAAGACACTCCCATGCCAGGACCATTTTTCCTAAACAGTTTGGTGGGGAGAATTTGCTAGCACTAGACAGGACATAAAGTTTCCCAATAGCAGCCTCTCTGTGCGTGCCAGGAAATGATGCCTGGTGCCTGGATGATGCTTCATGGCACGGCAGGGGCCTGTGGGGAAGTGCCAGATTTATGCTATTAGTATAGTTTTAGCAACAGTGTTGGCTGAATACTCCAGAATTGTAGTTCATGATTCTTGGGGCTACAACAGGAGCAATTTGGCAGCCACAACCAGAGAAGCAGGGTGACGCAGTGGTAATACCAGCAGGTTCTGTATACGATGGATCTGGGTTCTAGTTCCAGCCTCACCTTCCACCATCTGGGTGATAGCCAGCTAGTGCTTAGTCATGCTGAGCCTCTTTCCTCCTCTGCAGAGAAGAGGTGATGGCTAATATTTCTGGAGTGCTTACTACTCAGTTAAAACAGGACATTGGCTCTGGCCCGTTTAGCTCAGCAGAGCGTTGGCCCACAGACCAGAGAGTTACAGGTTGAGTTCCTGCTAAGGGCAGGTACCTTGGTTGCAGTTAGTTCCCCACCCTGGTTGGGGTTGTGTGGGTGGCAACCGACCACTGGATGTGTCTCTCACATTGATGTTTCTCTCTCTCTTCCTCCCTCTCTACCTGAAGATAAATGCAAAAATGTCCTCAGGTGAGGATTAAATAAATAAATAAATAATAAAACACATTACATTGTCTCTATTCAACACTTAAGAGCTATTTAAAAATATAATTTACTCCTGCCCTGGCCAGTTCGGTTCAGCAGTTGGAGCATCGGCCTGTGGACCAGAGAGTCTCGGATTTGGGTCCTACTAGGGGCAAATTAAAAAATATATATATATATATATATAAAATATATATATATAATTTATTCCTTAAAAAGTTATACTCTCACACCTCATACACACCCCAGTTATAACTTTTGATGACATTTAAAAAAATAATACATGGATATGGTTCGAAATAGAAATCATAAGAATACAAAGAGAGAAATGTTTTCATTTTGACCGTTTTGCATCTACAAATACAAGCAGGCGCATAGGATTCAACCTAGTAAGAGCCAGCCTCGGTTCTAAAGCTTTATATTAACTCGCTTAAATTCCTCAACAACCCCAGGAGGCAGGTACAATTATTACGCCTTCCTCGGTAATAACTATTTCTCCTGAAGAGAAGCAGAAGGATCTGAGGGAGTGTGTCCGCAACCTAAGTGGCCTCCATGAGTGAATTTAAAAGTTTGCGAAACAGAGGTCAGCAGATGTAATTATTAAGTGCCAAACTGGATTATCCGCCGGGTGTCCGAAACCCGATCCCTGGGGCGTCACACTCGCGGTACTTGAACCACGAGGACCGGGGAGGAACCCCGCTCGCGCGCCCTGTGGCCAGTCTCTACGTGTTTTCCCAGGAAAGGCGCGCCGGGATCCGCCGCCTCAACCAGTCTTGCTGGAGTAGGTGTAACCCTAATAACAAAAGCGTTCGGAGCGACTGCCGCTATAGCCAGTCAATGCCGAGCCCCGGCCCGCGCCTCCAGGTAGAGCGGAACTTCCAATTGGTGGAGTTGTTTCGAAGAAGGCGGACAGAAAGTGAAAGTTCCGCCTTCCTCGGAGCTCGAAGCCAATCGCTGCGTCTGAGCGGTAGCCGCCGTTTAGGTTGCGTTGTGGGGAGTAATCGAGGGCCTGAGGGCGGGGCAGGGAGCAGGCCGGGGGCTGCGGGGAGGGTACTCTTCCCGCGGGCGCGCGGAGCGAGGTCGGTGACAGCCACGCGCGCACGTGCGCGCCTGGCTGCAGCGCGGCCCCGAGACCTCCGTCAGCCACTGAGAGGCGCACGGCATCTGGGCCGGCGCCGTCTAGGGACTCCGTCCGTGGGTGACCCCAGCGTCCCCGGCCCGAGTCCCGGAGCGCCGGGCCAGTTCCATCCCGTCGGTTCCCGCTCGCGTTCCCTCCCCACGTCCGTCAGGGCCCGCCCCGCAACTCCCCTTTTCCGCTCCCAGGGCAGGGTCCTCGCGGCCCATGCTGGCCGCTGGAGGCCCGCACCACCCAGACAGTTCCCGTGCCAGCCGGACCGCCACCATGGGGGCCCTGAGGCCTGTGCAGCTCCTCCAGGGGGGCTAACAGTCCCAGAGCGCAGGCCCCGGGACGCGAGGGTCCCGGGCCTGAGCCCCGCACCATGGCCGGGGCCATCGCTTCCCGCATGAGCTTCAGCTCGCTCAAGAGGAAGCAGCCCAAGACGTTCACCGTGCGGATCGTCACTATGGACGCCGAGATGGAGTTTAATTGCGAGGTAACCGGCCGGCAGCCCGGCAGCTCCGACGGGCTGCGGCGAGGTGGGAGCCTGGCAAAATTCCCGCTCCTGGGGCCCTAGTGCGACGCCGATCGATTGGGGTGCCCCTGCCATGGTGACAGATGAGGTGGAAACTGGAGGGGTTCTGTTTGTATCATCTCTGGGCATAGGTAGAGATGGTCAGAACCGGAAGGAGCCATCTAGGCCCAAATTCTCATATTAAAAATAAATTGCTGCCTTTTTCAATAGGGAGTTTGGGTTTGGAAGCACTTCCTGAAAGTTTTCATTCATTGTTACAGCAAGAGTCTGGAAGCATGGGTGTTAGCAAGTTCTAGTTTTCAATGTCAGGCTTAAGCTCCAGCTCTATAGAGTTTTTACTTCATTAGACAATATTATGTACCCCAGGTACATAAAAAGCATTTTGTTTTATTGGAAGTCTGTACTTGTTTACCTTTGCCAAAACTTAAATTTTCCGGGGGGAGAGGTGGTGGGGGGCGAGACCTTTTGAGGAAAAAGATGGTATCTTATACTTAATTGTTCCATAGTTTGCATAATATGATCAGTTATCATTTGTTGAATACTTTCGAAGTGGCAGACATTCATACATTTACTTTCTCATAACCCAATGAGGTAGGTACCCCAAACCATTATATCTAATAAATGGCGAAGTGGAGTTTTGAATCAAGCTCTTGGCCAATACAGTGCTGTCTGTCAAGTAATTTAAGCCTTTGCTACTCAATATGTGGTCTGTGGACCAGCAGCATTGGCAGCAGTGACCTAAGTCAGGGGTTGGCCAACTTTTTCTGTAAAGGGCCACATAATAAATATTTTCAGCTTTGCTGGCCATAACGTCTCAGTTGCAACAACTCAGTTCTTCAGTTCTACCCTTGTAGCACGAAAGCAGCTATAGACAAGATTAATTTCCAGCTTGACATTGTGAGGCACTCCACTGACCTCTGTAAAACTGGTAAAAATTATTTAAAACAACAACAACAGTAATGTAAACCCTCTGTAAATGGTAAGGGCAAACATCAAGCAAGGAAATATCTATTCAACAGAATACGTAAAGTTCAGTAAGGAAGGTGAACATTTGTGGCATTTGAACCAAGACCTCTACAGCCCTCTGCTTCCAGTTCAGCAAGGTAGAGATTCTGCTTCAGGCTGCTGCAGCTCAGAACACAGGGCTCCCTCTTGCCTTAGCAGCGCCCAGTCTGAAGGCTTTCTTCCCAGGAGGAGCAGGACTTCAGTGCTTTTCATCCTACTCAAGGCTACTTGTTGCTCAGACTAAGTGGGTGAACTTGAAAGATGGGGCTTCTTTCTTTCACCCAGCTCCTACTTATGGAATGGGAGCTGTGCCCTGGGCATGGTACACTGAGAATATTGAGCCATAGTTACTCTTTCCCCACATAGCTTGTGAGATGGTGGTTCCAGACAGGTGAGGTAAACTGAAAAGACCTATTTAAATATATATATATATATATATATATATATATATAATTTCTTTATTGATTTTAGATAGAGAGGATGGGAGAGGGAAAGAGAGAGAGAAACATTGATGAGAGAGAACATTGATTGACCACCTCCTGCATGCCTCCCCACTGGAGATGGAGCCCACAACCTGGGCATATGCCCTGACTGGGAATCAAACTGGTGACCTCTTGGTGCATGACGCTCAACCACTGAGCCACACCGGCTGGGCAGGAGAAGCACATTTTAAAACCCTTAATTTCTAGCCCTGCCTGGTATGGCTCCGTGGATTGAGCGTGGACTGAGAGGTCCTTGTTGGATTCCCGGTCAGGGTACATGCCCAGGTTTCAGGCTCCATCCCCAGGAGGGGGCGTGCTGGAGGTGTTTCTCTCTCATGTGGATGTTTCTCTCTCATGTGGATGTTCTGAACTCTCTAAAACAAACAAATAAAATCGTATTTAAAAATAAAACCCTTAGTTTCTCATCTCTTGTCAAGGTAGTGACTTCATTTGCAACAGAGTATGGCTTATGTTTATGCCTCAGGGTACTCAAGAACAGAAGTTTTGGTGAAAGGCAATTGGGAGGGGATTTGTGAGTTGCATGAAGATACAGCCTAGACTATAGGCCAGCTAGTTTGCAGGAGAGAATCAGGGAATATAACAGCTAGGAATAGCCCTCCTGGGTCAGAACAAATATCAAACACTGATCTCAGAAACTGTTCTCTCAAAAGAGCCACCTTTTGATTAGATTACTTTGTAGAGCAAGTTATGCCCCAGAGCATTATTGAAAATAATGTAACAATATACCATAATTAGTGTAGTTTAACAGCTGGGTGTGATAAGGGAAAAATAGAGTCCTACTAAAATCTGTGGGCATACTCAACACCTGGGTGGCATACCCAAAGATGAGCCTCCCTAAAGAGCCACATCATAGGCCTTCACACTGTGTGAGGGAAATAGATTTCACTAAAACAATTCATCTAGTCTCTAACAAATAAATAAGCAAATAACAATAACAAGCCCTGGAGAGGGGACACCAGTCCCATGAGTTGCTATAATATATTATCTAAAATGTCTAGTTTCTAACAAAAATTCTGAGGTATGCAAAGAAGCAAGGAAGGCTAAAAACAAGTGACCTCAATGCTGGCCGGTTTGGCTCAGCAGTTGGAGCATACACCGGTAGACCAAAGAGTCTGGGGCTCAATTTCGGTTGAGGGCACATGTACCTCAAGTTGCTGTTGGGTCCCCGGCCTTGGTCAGGGGTTGTGCAGGAGGTGACCAGTCGATGTCTGTCTGTCTCTCTCTCTCTCACTCTCCCTCCCTTCCACTCTATCTGAAAATAAATGGAAACAAATATCCTTGGATGAGGATTTAAATAAACAAACAAAAAACAAGTGCCCTCAAATAGTAATTTAAATCCACATAAAAGAAAAACAAAGAGTGCCCTGGCTGGTTTGGCTCAGTGGTTAGAATGTCTGCCCATGGACCAGAGTCTCTTGGACCAAAGAGTCACGGGTTCGATTCTGGCCAAGGGCATGTACCTTGGTTGTGGTTTGTTCTTGAAAGCCCTGGTTAGGGTCCTGCAGGAGGCAACCAATCTATCTCTCTCTCTCTCTCTTCCTCCTTTCCTCTCTCCCTCCCTCCCTCCCACTCTATCCAAAGATAAATGGAAAAATATCCTCGGGTGAGGATTAAAAAGAAAGAAAAAGAGCACCAAATAAAGGTAATTATATAATTATAAAAATATAAATACATATTTTTCTCCTCTTAACTGATTTAAAAAGCAATTATATAAAACATGCATATAATATACTGTTGGGACTATAACAGAAATGTAATGTATGTGTAATATACTTGTCAATAATAGCACAAAGGAGTGGGTGCGAGCAAAGCTATAGTGGGCTACGGAAATAACTATATATGGTAAAGTAATAACTATAACAATGTATTGCCAGGTTTGTAACTTTAATAGGTATAATATATATAACAATACTACAAAAAAGGGGGGAGAGAATGGAGCTATGTAGGAGTAATATTCCTATATATCACTGGAATTAAGCTTGTATAAATCTGAGGCTGATGTTGATAAATCAGGATTATATGGTAGACCCTGGAGTAACCACTAAAAACAAAATTGAAAAATATAGTGGAAAAATTATGTGCCCTGACCGGGAATTGAACCTGCGACTCTTTGGTGAGCAAAACCGGCCAGTGCTAAACAATCTTGAAAAGGAACAAAATAAAAAGACTCACACTTGCTCATTTCTAAACTTACTATAAAACAACCATAATCGCCCTGGCTGGTTTGGCTCAGCGGTTAGAGTGTCGGCCTGCCAGACCCAGTCCAGAGAGACCCAGGTTCGATTCCCGCTGAGGGCATGTACCTCAGTTGCTGTTTGTTCCCAGCCCTGGTTGGGTCGGGAGGGTGGCAACCATTCGATGTGTCCCTTTCACGTCGATGTTTCTCTCTCTCCCTTCCTCCCACTCTATCTGAACAAAATATGGAAAAATGTCCTTGGGTGAGGTGAGGATTAAAAAAACAGCAACAACCATAATCAAGACAGTCATATAAATCAATGGAATAGAATTGAGAATCCAGAAATAAACCCCTGTGTCTTTGGTTAGCTGATTTTTGACAATGGTACCAAGACCACGCATTGGAGAAATAAATAGGCTTTTCAACAAATAGCGCTGAGATAACAATATAGCCATGTGCAAAAAAATGAAGTTGAACCCTTACTTCACACCACATACAAAAATTAATCAAAGTCCTAAATGTAAGAATTAAAATTAACACTCTTAGAAGAAAACATAAGGATAAAACTTTATGACTTTGGATTTGGCATAGGCTTCTTAAATATGACACCATAAGCATGAACAACAACAACAAAAATAAACTAGACTTCATCACGATTAAAAACTTTTGTGCTTCAGAGGACACTGAGAAAGAAAAAATAGCGAATCATGTATGTGATAAGGGTCTTACATCTAAAATATTTGAAGAACTCTTTAAAAAATTTTTTTTCCTTTATTGATTTTATTTATTTTTTTGTTTTTTTTATTTTTTAACTCTTTTTTTTTTTTTATCCTCACCCAAGGACATTTTTCGATATTTTGTTCAGATAGAGTGAGAGGGAGAGAGAGAGAGAGAAACATCGATGTGAAAGCGACACATCGAGTGGTTGCCACCCACACGACCCAACCAGGGCCGGGGACAAACTGCAACCGAGGTACGTGCCCTTAGCGGGAACCGAACCCGGGTCTCTCCGGACCGCAGGCCAACGCTCTAACCGCTGAGCCAAACCGGCCAGGGCTTTTAACTCATCTTTATTGTGGAATGTATTACAGATGTTCCCCCCTTTTTTCCCCATTGACCCCCTCCTCCCCAATACCGCCTCGCTTCTGCCTTCTCCACACTATTGTTGGTGTCCACTGGTTATGCATATATGCATAGAAGTTCTTTGGTTTATTTCTTCCCACCCACCCTTCCCCCTTCCCTTTGAGGATCATCAGTCTAAGAACCAATTTGTACTT